ATTACAATTACTACTTTTGTAGTAAATAATTACTGCATTACAACAAATTGCATTTTGAATTACGGCACCAAACATTATTTGGTTCTGAAGCTAATGATTTTTGTAGAGGTGTTATCATTGGATTAATAAAATTTTGATAGAAAGAAGTAAAATCATTTTGAATATTAATTCTTGACCCTAAAGCTGACAATGAATGTCTCGAAAGTGCAAATCTTGATTCTAAAACTAGCAATAGTTGTCTCAAAGGTGTCATTACTTGAAATAAAATTTTTGATTTTAAAGTAGGTGATTCATTTCTCAATTTTAAATCTGGTGATAGTTGTTGTGAAGGTATAATTATAAAAGATTGAGACAATTTACTGATATTATCAACCTTATTATTGTCTAAAAAAAAATTACAAAATTATAACTAATATAGAAAAACTATATCAATATATATTAATATTAAAAATAATTATTACTATGTAAATTGTCATCATCATTTAAAAGTTTATTAACTATGAGGCTACTGCTATTTTTTGATTTGTTTTATTACTTTGCCTATCTTCTTTATTTAAAAGAAAATATAAAAATTATATCTAATTATAAAAGTTCAAGAAATATAATATTTGCCTTATGGATTATTAGCATCATTTAAAAGATCATCAATTATTTATGAAGAAGATACAACTGTGTCTTTCTTCTTTTTGTGATCTCGTTTATTGGTAGCATTCAGTTTAACTTGTAAATTATCAACACTTAAATGATTAATCTTCTTTCTTTTATGGCCTCATTTAGTAGATTGATCAGATTTAAAAGTAGTTTGTATTTTATTGTTTGCAGTAGTTTGTATTTTATTGGTTGCAAATAGTTTTGAATTTCTGGTTTTCATATTTAAGTAATAAAGAGTAAAAAAAAAATAGTTTTTATAGTAAAATTTATTTTAAAAGTTTATTATATAAGGTTATAATTTAATAATTAGATCATAATTAGATAATATGAAATAATTTTTAAGGCCTGAATTTTCTAATTAGTAAGCTTGCTAGTAAATTATCAAACATATTTATATTTCAACAATTATATTTTTATATGTACCTTTTAACTTATAACTTTTAACTTATTTTCTTATTACAATGTTTCATAGCTATTATATCCCTTTTAATCCTTACCAAAATTATTTATATGTAATATGCTAAACACATCTTTGTATGAGATATTAAATAAAAGAAGTACTAAAACAAATATTTCTAGTAATTACTATATTGAAATGAATTCTGATAATAATATATTAAATCAAAAAGATTTTGATAATGAAATTTCAAATAATGAAGATTTTGGTAATACATTGAGTGAAAATGATTTGTTAAGTAAGAATAATAAATTTACCAAAGATGATATATTAACTAAAAGTAGTGTGTTAAGTAAAAACAATATGTTAACTGATAATGATATGTTTAACATAGGTAGTTCAATGAGTAAAGATAATATGCTAAGAGAAGTTGTTAATGAATCTTTATATATCATCAATTAATAGAGAATTTGCACTATACTTTAGTAACTTTACAGAAGCAATGATGTTTTTTTGGATTCAAAAGCATAGTATATATAGATAATTAAAATAGTTATTGTTTATAAATTTTAATATATTTTGTTAAAGTTTGTTTTTATTTTAGCTACTCAAGCATATAATAATCTAGTAAATATAATTTATAATCCACAATTTAATAGTAAAAATATTATAAAAAATATTAGACAATTTAGAAAGTATAGGCAATGACTACCTTTACTTCAAATTAAATCACATCAAATTTATATTTCTGACAAGCAAACATCATCTATATCAAAAGATACTAAAATGGCATATTGCTTATTAATTCTTGATTTTATTTGGTATATCTTTAACAATTTTTTATTATTTGACAAAATATATTTTGGCCCAGGCCAAGAAGTAACAAAAAAATATAAACTATAGTATAAAAATATTTGGAAAGAATCATCAAGATTTGGACAAGAGTCTGTTATTATAGACAAATAATTTGATTACTTTTAATTTATCTTTTATTTTATCTTTTTTAATTTAATTTTTTTATTATTTAAATTATTATTACAAATATTTTTATAACTTGTAGTAAAATATTATTTAGATGATTTTGTAGTTTATAAAAAATCTACAAAAAATAGAATTTGTTGAATTTTATTAATCATTCAAAAAGATGGCTACTTTAATATTAATATTTAGCATATTTGAAGAGTTATCAAAGTAATAATCATAAAGAAAGATTAATAAAAAGTAAAATATGGATGTTAGATTGAAATGTAAATAATGCAATTAAAACTAGAACTGCAAATAATTATTAAATGTATTATAGTTATAATTTTATATAATAATAATATAAATAAAGATTAAAAAAAAAATGAATAACTAACAGAACTCTTTCTGACGATCACTTGGACTAAAATTCCTACTAACGAAAAACAAAAAAATTTGTTGGAGAGTCGTGGTCTACTAGCGGTTTGTCTAGAGGTCAACCTACTACTACTACAGGGACTTCTCTACAAGGGATATTTGGCATGCAAGCCAAGAGTATTATTATACAAGATAACTGGCAGGGGTGCCCTTGTATAAAAAATCTTGATGGTGGGTAGTTCAGAAATGAGCTAATATCATCAACGAAGCTTTTAGGTTGTTACTTCAAAGAAGAATACTGGAGAAACAACAAATTATCTGTCGCTTTGAAGCCACACTCCTTTTTCTTGTCTCAAGTGATTCCTCTACTACTTATTTTCGACTTCTTGCTGTTCTTTCAAAAAATTTCAACAAAATGTGGGGATTTGGCTTACTCCCTCCAAAAGATCGACATTGTTTATATCTAAATTCGGACAGACTTGGTATGATTACAACCAACATGTTTTGTTTACTTAGAAGATATAGCGCTACTTTACGTGACTTGGATCGAGGTCTCAGATTAAAGAGATATTAGAATTTGGCTGATAGTTGGAAGGTATACATTAGGGTTTTGTTTTCATAATTGAGATATACAATGGTTGTAGTTGTTATAAAATTTTTATTGTAACTTGGCACGGGTTATAATAGTGTATTTGTCTTGTTCATAGCAACCTTCGGGTTGCTTGGCTGCTTCTTGATAGAGGTAGTATCTACTTTGTCAGCCTTCTTGGCTTTTCTCTTTGTTTTTCTTTTTTTACATGTTCTTTTTCCCTTTTTTTTTTTTTCCTTTAAAATTTCTCTTTTATTTAATTTGTTTTGTTATTAAATATAGTTTTCTTTTTGTTTCATAATTGGTAGTTTTGTAGCAATAGTATAAAATTACTACTTTCTTTTGCTCTCAATAAAGAAAGAAGAATTGAAGGGATTAGCTCTCGACAGGCTGACAAGGTCTATCTAACTTGTATACAAGATAGTGCGATGAGTCGCTTATAGGCACGGTTTCCACAACTGGGAGATGTCTAGCTTGCAATTTTTAAGGCTTAGTTTAGTTGGAATGGTTTACCATTGTTGATTAAATAAATAAAGTTTTTGTATTCGAGCTTTGACAAGACTGTCAAAGAGTTAAAAAATATATATATATATATATATAAATAAAGATTCTTCAATCACAATTCGTGAAATATAACAATAAATAGAAAATAAGAGATATTATTTATTCTTACAAGCATCTTTTAAATTTTGCTATATTAAAAGAGTTTACTTCAAGTTTTTCCTTATTATTCATTAGGTGGTGTTTATATTCAAATAAAAAATATGCAATTTGATCAAAGAAAACAATTAAAAAATCATTTTGTACTTGGATTTGTGCCATTTGGCGGTTCATTTAATGAATTTATTAGCTCTTCTATTACTTAAATAAAACATTTAGAAGAAGAGAAAATAATAAATATACAAGATACTAAAAGCCTTGTAATTGTAAGTCTTGAAGATATAACTTCTGACTTGTTACAAGAAAATGATCTGGTTGAAATTAAAAAGTATAATACTACAAAAAGTTGTTGTACTTGTAGTATAAACAAAAATTTCTGAATATCTGATTATGATTTATTATTAAACTCTCACTATCAACATCTTATGAATAAACAATTTGAAGAAATTATTATAGCATTAACATTAATAGAATGTAAAGAAATCTTTACAAAATATGAATTGTATTTATATTTACCAATATTAAATCAATTGTGATGAGAAAGATATCTTTAATTGCCACATAATGTATATATTATACTACTAGTAGTAAAGTGTTAAAGCTTCTTAAAATGACAATTAATACTTTTTTAGTAGAAGGAAAATCTGCATTTATTGCAGTTTGGAAATTATTTAAATATTCAAAAAACTGGTCTAAATCGCCAAATCTAATACCTCATATAGATAGTTTTATGATGTTTGATTGCTTAAAATTAGCAATAGTGTTTTTTTTTATTATTAATAAAGTTTTAAAGATTTAATATTTTAAGCAATCTGAGATTTACAAATTGCAACAGCAACTAGACTTTTTATATAATGATTTGGCTATAAAAGTCTGGCTAAAATATTGGCTAATAGTATTAAAAACAATGGCAATTTTATTTAAAAAATATTTTACAAAAGAAGATTATATTGAATTGCAAGAATGCTTAGAAAATGAAAGAAAAATTTTAGTACAGATATCAAAAATATATTGGCTAAATAAAGGGTTTTGTATATATACTAATTTAATTCTACTATTGTTAATATTAATAATCATTTGAAGACTTTGAAAATCTTCTGAATTTATATATTAATTTTTATATGACTCAGCATGCTAGAAATTATGCTAATTTGTTAAATATTAGTGTAAGAACAAAGAAAATAGTATACCAAATATTTAAGAATATTGTACTATAAACCAATTGAAAAAATATAGATTTAGACCTACTAAAATACTATAATATATTATTTGCAATCTGGCACTTACTAGATGGAGGTATAGGTATGCATTTCCTATTTTCAAGCAATGCTTTAATTAATCCTTCACAGCATTTACAGTACCAAATGAGTAACTAGTTTATTTTTAGTAAATCTGATAATGCCAAAGATAATATAAATGAAGGTATGATAACATAGTTTAGATAAGGCAATAAGTTAGTTCTTGACTATAATTTTATTTATAATTTGTTTGACAGATAACTATACTAAAATTTTATTGAAAAAACAAATTCCACAAAGAAATCTTGAAAAATTGATACCACCAGATTTTAAAGAATAACTGGAGTTATGTTATAAAGATTTAGAATATTCATCTACAATTTTTAACAGCACTCTATTATTTTTTGAATATGCAAATTTTTATATTGAAAAGGACAACTTGCCTGTTCAATACCATTTACACATTGGGGATATTGTTTCAGTTAATTTTGAATATAATAAAAAAAGTTTTTTCAATTGTATATATACTGTTTCATCATAAGAAAGATAAGCATTATCTTACTTTTATTATTATTGACTAGTTTGAAAGTACAAGCCAAACAAAGCTAGGCTGTTTATTGTATAGACTGGAAACAACAAATTATTGGCAAAAAATTCTTCCTGTTAGTGTAGTTAAAGTAGTTAATACAGTGCACTTTGTTTGTAATTGTAAAGATAAAAAATGTATTGAAGATCAATACAGTATAACCTTGCAAATGATTTTTATATAAGAAATTTATACTTTTTTAAAGCTATTTAACTTCAATATTTATTATTTTATATATATAAAATAATAACTTATATATGTATTACTAGTCGAACAATAAAATTTTGGCAACCTATCTGCTAGCTGATAGGTCACATATAGGTTACCGAAATCCAGTATAATCCAGGCGATATGTGCTATACCAATAGCTCACTGATACTTGGCACGTATCTGTAACCTATCAGATTGGCACGTATTGGCAAATTTCTGCAACCTATACATGGACTATCTACAAAAGATATCGGCTAGCATATATTGATATTAATTTATATGATACTTCCATTTACGCTATGTATTCACACATTTATATAGGTTTCTGCATGTATATATAAATTTCAGCTTGGTATTTTTAAAGGTTTATATAGATTTTTATAGATCAGTTTGGGTATTAGCTAGCCAATATCGTATTTTTTTTTTACTAATATTATATTTAATGATACTTACAAAATTTAAGCGATTTATACTCGTATATACTCATATATATAAGTTTCTGCTTAGTATATATAGATTTCGGCTTAGATATTTAAAGTTTTCAAATAGATTTTGATAGTTTAGCATGGGTATTTGCTAGCTGATATCTCAGTTTTACTTTATTATATTTAATGATACTTACAAATTTAAGCGAATATATATGCATATATATAGGTTTCTTCTTGAAATATATAGATTTTTGCTTGGATAATTAAAGTTTATATAGATTTTTGATAATTCAGCTTGGGTATCAACTATCCAATACGCATTTTTACTTTATTATACTTAACAAAACTTACAAAATTTCAATCGATTTATTCATTGTATATATATATATACTTGAGTTTCTATAGAATTTTGTTACAAATATTTAAGTTCAGCTTGGATATCGGCTAGCTGGTATCGCTTTATTTTTTATTATATCTATCTTTTATAAGCTATATGTATTATATACATTCAATTTGCATTACAAATTTCTGCTTATACTAATTATATAGCATATTTACAATTTTCCTAATACTACAATTACTAAAAAATCAAATTTCCGGATTATCGTAATCTTCGTCTTTGTCTCTGATATAATTGAAGTTACCAGTAGGAACATTCAGACGATCTCTTCTTTTGGAGGAACCTTTGGAAGAACCTTTTGAAGAACCTTTGGAAGAGATAGAACTTTTGAAAGAGCTTTTAAAATCTTTATTTTTTTGGCGATTATTTTTCAATGTTGTAGAGTTAGATGTGTTAGATATAGATTTTGGCATAGTAGAGTTGAACGTAGATTTAGGCATAGAGTTAGGCATAGAAGAGTTAGACGTGGAGTTAGATGTGGAGTTAGATGTGGAGTTAGATGTGGAGTTAGGCATAGAGTTAGGCGTAGAGTTAGATGTGGAGTTAGACATAGAGTTATATATGCCGGAATTGTTTGTTTCAGGGTTATTGGTTCTAAAATAATAAAAAATTAATAAATATATTACAAACCTTATAAGTATACTTTAAATATGTACGGTTGTTCAGTTTTAAGATTACCACGATCGGATTCAGAAACATCGTTGGAGCTAAAAAAATGCCAAATTAATAAAATTCATAAAACTTTTAAACATTTTTTTTTAAATACTTACATCAGCATGGTATTATTATTATTATTATTATTATTATTATTATTATTATTATTATTATTATTATTATTATTATTATTATTATTATT